CTACTGCTACTGCTACTGCTACTGCTACTGCTACTGCTATAGCTCTATTCTCCTTCTTTGAATACCCACCATTTGATGAAGCTATATCATAGATTCCTTCACAAGGTATTCCCATGTACTGTGTGTACATCTGGTCATACCAAACCAATAATTCCTGGCCAGGTTCAATGGTTTTATACGTGCGATAGTATATCTTATTCATGTACTGGAAGGCGTAGAGGTTCTGTTCTTCCTCGTGCCGCGCGCACCGAATGAACCTCATCCAACTGGCTGTGTTCTCGTCACTTCCATCTATGTAGCCATAAAGCTTACCGTCCTTAAAAATCTGAATAGGAAACGTATCATGGAGATTAGAAAAGGCTCGATTTGATTGTGTAGATCCCGGATCACAAATCACCGCTGTGTTACATGATTATGTACACATCTAAGAAGGGACAGCCTTGTCTCAGTGTCAAAATATTTACAAACTTAATCCAATGTATAATAACAAAAATTTACTTGCCTCCCATAAATAAGATGAATCCACCATTCCGCTAGCCTTGTTTGGCTCAACAAAGTTGCCTTGATAAGGCCCAATCCATGCTCCAATAGGTATGGTCTCGGTGGCCTGGATACCATACCCAGTTCCACTAGGGATACTCGACAGACAAAGACGTACTATATTTGGCATGTCTTTTGTTATCTTTGAGATTTTTTGATTCGCTGACTCGTTGATTGTCTTATCAGAATCTGGAAAAATATTTTTCAAAGGAATTAAATATAAATACTTTTAAAAAAATGGATGGATGGATGGATGGATGGATGGATGGATGGATGGATGGATGGATGGATGGATGAATCAAGTACATTTTCTGTATCATGTGGAATGTTTATCACTGAGCTGAATACCAAATTTAAGTTCTCTCTGATCGTTTACAACGCAGTGACCACCATTTGTAGCAGATAAGATTCAAAGACTACTATTATCAGCTTATCGTAACCCAATAATAAAAACACATCTGTAACTTTACCTATTGCGACCCCCAACTTTCTTTTTCCAAATAAGTAATCCTGAAGATCTTGGAACGACACCTTAAATGTACGATCATTCATCTTGATTCGTTTAGCTGTAGGCTCTACTAATCCACATGACCCATGGTTACATAAGATAGGTTGATACTGAAAATATAAACACATGACAATTTACTTTAACTTTCATTAACACCCTATTGATCTCCAATAGTCCAAGAGCTAATCTCTACGAAATCTCTTACTTTCATGATCAACCAAAATATTAGCTCATACCTCCCCCCTCGTGAAGAATGTCATGCTCTTGTGATTAAGTAAATCTTGAATATTTTATTTCAAGAAATTATGAGATTTCTATCCTTTGCCGAATCTTTAAAGCTCTCATTGCATAACTTAATGCTGTCCTAAGATTTAAAATCTAGCTGGTCATATAAGCGAAAGAGAAAAAATTTAATTATGTGAATGTAAATAATGATATGAAAGATATTCTATTTTTAACTTTTTTTAAATATACGATTCAAGTTGGAAAGAGCGGGTAGCGCTATACGAAGGATAAATCTTATTCAGTAGATAAATTTATTGGTGATAACAGTATTGACTTATCCACTGGATAAGGATAGCGCTATTCACCCTTCGTACAACCGGGCCATGCACACACTCCACTGCAATGCTGATGTAACATCAATTTGAGAGAATTTTGCACTCAAGCGGAGTGAGTAAATCTTTCCAAACATGCACAGCTTGCTCAGCAGGACTATCTCACATTACTGAAGCTCACACTATTATTGACGATAATCCTGCAAGTCTTTTAGATTCATTCAAATAAACAGGTTCTTACCATGGCTGGTTGTCGAGAGGCTAGCTACGAGTACTCCTGCTTGCTTGGTGCAACTTCAAAGACGAAAACTTCCACCTTCACTTCTTGACTAGACTGCAGCACCAGTTGAATTAACAGACAAGCTTTTATGCTTTTAAAACCAATTTAATTGTATATAAACCCAAACTCATGAAGCGCAACACTGCTAAAAACTCTTATTGTTATATGACTTAAGATTTTCTGTCAAAAGCCATTTGAATACATAATGTTTTTAAAGCCAAATTTAAATATTATATATTAAGCATTAATGTTCAGAGCAAATAGAAAAATCAAACTAAAGTAAAAGATGAAAAAGAAAAGAAGTTATTGAAAATAGTAAAGAATATGAAAAGCATGTTTCAAAAGTATATTTCAATTACATCTTTGAACAGCTCGATAAAGTTTTGGCGCCAAATTTTGACGTCACGCGCGTCTGAGTACATGGTACACGTGGTTTGAAGCGAGGCGTCTCCAGAATTCAAAATTGTTCTTGCTTTCGGCTTTAAATTTCTGAGCAAAACGATAATTTAGTGTATTGAAATAAAATTAAGAAATTCTATGATCTAGAATTGTGACAATTTACAAGTCAAGATAAGACATTTGGCTATTTAACCGTGGAAGATTTCTATACACTTCAAAACACCGGATGTCTATTAAGCCTATAAATAAAAAAATGATAAATGCAGTGGAATAAATGATCTATTGATATTCGAATTCTTAGGAAATTGTTGGTTTTGAAATGACTTCACTCCGGATATTCGAGTCAGGAATGTTGCTGTAAAAATTCTTTTCATTAATCAATGAATCATTTCATGTATAGCTTATAAATCGTATGAATTCTTTTTTATTAAATTACAGTTTGACCGAAATTTTTTGAATCCTTTTTTTGACGAAAATTCTTGATTAAAGTTCTGTAGAAAAGCTAATTTTCGACTTGAAATATTTCGACATTTATTGCATCAAAGCAAACGTAACTTCATGGTTTGATTTTTGAGTATGAATTACAAAATTTTGTGAATTTTTAATTTGACTGTTCGGTTACCTAGGTGTTCTGGTAGAATAACCAGCGCACTTTCAAATGTTGTTTACCACATAAAACTGAATAAATAACCAAAACAATGATTTGTCACGCAGATGCGCTCACTATTAACCCGAAGAAGACAGAAGTTCTTGATCAATCTTGCGCAAAGTATCTACAAAATTCACTTCATAGATTTTGCCGAGTATTAAGCATTAAAACTTTCTGGATAATCGCTATTTTTTACAATCAATTATTATTTTTACTAATATTGAATGTATGATAACAATTTCAAATATATCCATGGAACAACATACAGTGCTAATGTTATAATTATTTATCTGCATTAATACTGATGTCATATGAAGTCTTTTGAGAGTTCTGAAAACTATAACGTTTGACAGCAGAAGAACGAAAATCTCTTCTAAATGATAAATTTGATAGTTTTTTAGAATTTATTTTGAAAACGAAAAAGTAATCCGAACAAGAATATTTATGATCATTGATGTAAGCTATGCGCGATAAACGTGTTGTGTTTGAATTCACTGGAGCAAAAACAGCAAATTAATAATGTTTGTCCTAATACCTTTGAAAAGTAGATGACATAACCTAGATTGACTATTATAAACCAAAGAATCTCGAATCTTTAAACAAATTCTGAGCACGTAAACATATATCGGACAAGAGTTGTAAAACCCTTAAAAGAAAGCTCTTTATGTGCCCTTGAAAAAATTTCGGCAGAAATTTTAAATTTTGTTTTAATAAATTAATTTTGTAGGAGTATCCTTTTTTGAGTATATATGCGCTTGCATTAATAAACTATTGACGACTAAACAATTAGGACCCAAGAACAATCTAGAAGAATTTGTGAACAAAAAATATTAACATCAGAGCATGAAAAAGTTCAAAATGACGAGAAATCTCACTCAAAAAGATTCGATACAATTTGAGTAAATACTTATCAAAACAATTTCACAAAAAAACGATGTTTGTGTACTAGTTATTTTGTCCTAATGAAAATAGCCTGAGTTTTTGAATAGTTATTTAATAATAAAGGTTAGGACTGAAGTAGTTATGGAGTATTGGAACCACCCTTAAATCGCACATGGCCTATCTCATTAATGAACAAATTTATGTCAAGTTTTGGCGGGAAATCTTAACATTTGCATAATTTATGCCGGTTACTTCTGATAGACGCTCATTTCATGATCCACTAAGCACAGCTTCTAATTTGTTGAATATGCATGTAGTAATAGCTTTTGATTGACACATAGTTAATAGTCTATTAACTATGATTGACATTATATTCATAACAGGCTTTGAAATGTAAAAGGGCTTCTTTTAGGAGTTGCACAAGTCTCAAAGTTTGGACAACTATAAATTTTGAAAACTCACTTGATTACTTATCTGATATAACGCTTATTTAGCAATGGACAGTTTAGAGCGAAGTCATTAAACCCGTGGAATAGATGTTAGACTAATACACTTTAGTAGACCCTAATTCCATTGTTTTCTTTTGTGTCTTTTTGACTATTACACGTTGACTAGTATTTTTTATTTCACGGGTTAAATGCTTTCGCTCTACCTAGTTACGTTAAATTAAATAGTTTGATTACTAAACCCGTGAAATAGTTAATATCTTATAAAGCAATTGGTAAATCTCAGTTGCCTTGTTTTTTCAAGGTATCATTAAGAATCTGGAGACTGCAGAGAGGAGAGGAGAGGAGAGGAGAGGAGAGGAGAGAAATTAAATTCAAAATTTATTTACGACCTTTTACAGGCCGCCAATATCAAAGACAGCGAAATTTTGGTATAAATTGAGTCTACTGTAGTATCATCATTTTTCTATGCAAAAAGATAATAATCTAAGCTTCGCATTTGTTCGTCAAGACATCCCCATTACAATCGAATCGCAAATGGCGCGCATATTTATTCTGAAAAGCCTTATAGAGGACGAATAAAGTATGTATGTATGTATGCATATTGAGTTCCTTGAGAAAACGTCACTCCACACTTTCGACAGTTAAATGACTTTTCACCGGTATGTATTCGAATGTGATTATTCAGCGTAGTGGCGCCCACGAAAGAACGCATACAGAATCCACACTTAAATGGCTTCTCGCTCACGTGTTTAAGCACGTGGCTCCTCAAGTCTGACGGGTTGGTAAATGTTAAGTTGCAGTACCCACACTGATAGGGTGATGTCGTTTGTTTGGGGCATACGTGCATTTGAAGTGTATTACGTTGTAAAAAGCTCTTCGAACACTGACCGCATTTTAAGTTTCCGTGTTTTATATCGGTACCATTGCAACTACCACGGGGAGACAGAGATTCTATGCGTGATTCAGAAACAGTTGAAGGCACATTTTCTTCATATTCTTGCATACTTTTGAAGACTTGGTAATCTTCATGCACGGAATCTTTCAGCATTAACTTTGACGTTTTGTTGTCATTGACAGGTGAGTTACTCTTTTGAGATTCCGCTGAAATATCCTCCTCCTCATTCACAAGAATTTTAGTCCTTTCTGCGGTTGAACAAGTCTTTTGAGTGTCAAAAAGCTTTCTTTTTGTGTTTGTCTTAGTTTGGAGACGAGTTTCTATATCTAAGAAAGACAAGAAGTGTATTTGTTTGTTATTAAAATTATACTTAGAAAAAGCACGATTATAGTACTGTAGTGGATGTGGGTTCTTAGCTAGAGTTTGTTAAACCTATTTTGGAGCTTAGGGTCAACTGAATTCAGTGTTTTGAATTTCTTTCTTTCTTTTCTTTCTTTCTTTTCTTTCTTTTTTTCTCTCTTTTCATTGAGGGTAATGGATTATTTGATGGCAAGAGAATTCCCAGTTTGTTTTAGCAAAGTTACAACTGCGATCACTGAGATCATATCTCCATCAGTTCTTTGTCCAGTGGATAAGTCGATACTGTTATCCAATAAATGTATTTACTGGATAAGATTTATCCGTCGGATAGCGCTATCCACCCTTCTTACAACCAGGCACTGATGTCGAGATAATACAAGAAAAGTACTAGCTGAGGTAGCCTACTCGGGAAAGTATGAGGCATTCCAAGGTTAAGATTAAGACTGGGTCAAGTTGCCATAGCAGTGCATTTTGGGGTTGTCTTAGAACGCTATCCTTGGAAATTGACGATTCTTAAAACTCCATTGTATTTGGGCTTAGCCTTACTTCTGAGGTCAGTAAACAAAAGCAGAAATTAAAATAACAAAACAAACAACTGCTGGATTCAAGGCTAAGCGCGCATGCTCTGGAGTTTCAAGAGTCGTCAATAGTCTACTAGAACATGCTCAAAACGTACTGCAATGTCAACTCGACCCGCAGTTTTCCCTCGACTCCGGAATGGTTAATACTTACCATCACCTGGTTCTGCCATTAAAGGTATACCCATGTACTGAGGATAGCTGTTATCATACCACACCAATAATTCCTCTCCAACATGAATATCACGCATTGTTCGGTAGTAAATATAACCGTGGTACTGAAACGCGTTCAAGTTTTGTTCAAAATAACTGCGCGCACACTGAATAAAACGCATCCATCCAGAGGTATTGACGTCACTGCCATCGACGTAGTATAGCAACCGATTCTCGTAGAAAATCTGGGGAGGATGATATACAAGAATTATGGTAAGCTTTCGCATGAGACTAGTTTCGCATTCTATGCATACTGCTGTGTTTGAAGACCACAGACTCATTTGCACAGGCTTAGCCTCGTTTATAAGTCAGCTATTTAAAAATCCATGGGATTTCAAAACATTGGTATTCTTTATTCTTTACATTACAGTTGAATAGGCCATTTCACGGATTCCGTTACTCAACCTCAGCCTCGTCAGCGTGTAATATATTCTTTAGAAATTGCCTACAATCTGTGAAATTTTAAAGTGTTTCAATTGTTCGTTGATGTGTAAATTCCTTTCATTACTGCGGACTGTAATCAAATTCTAAAGAATAATTACACGCTGACGAGGCTGAGGTTGAGTAACGGGATCCGTGAAATGGCCTATTTTGCAAATGATTTAGTCTGCTGGGCGAGGCTAAACCTGTGCAAATAAGTCTGTGGTCTTCAAAAACAGCGGTATGCATCGAATGCGAAAGGGGACTTTTAGGCTAAGCGACAATACTTTTTAACGTTTCTTTTGGAAAACTTTGTTTCGAGGCGCATGGCTGGAAAATTAGCAGAACAAAATATGGCGTATCAGGAAAGATACAGTTTTTCAAAATTGGTAAACAACATGCAAGAAAACCTACACGAACCTTTGTTTGAAACAGTTGTATTTGAATGTCTTGGGTAAAGACAAATTTTTTAAACTGGTCTTACCTCCCATAAGTTGGTTCCATCTTGCACATCAACGTGACTTTCCAGTTTGTCCGGTTCAACCAGTTTGCCCAGGTAAGGACCAATCCAAACTCCTTGTGGAATAAAGGATGTTGCTATGACACCCAACTTGTACCCAGGTATACTCGACCAACACAACTGAATCTCTGGAGGGAAGGTTTTATACGCTAAGCTGTCAATCATTACCATGTGATCTTTAGTGGTAGGACTACCACGTGATTCTATTATATTTCTTTCTTGTAGGGAAGTACAGTCTGTTGATTGGCTGATTTGTTGATCTGAAAAAAGCAGTGAAAACTTGTAGTTAGTGAATAATGATTTAGGGGTTATTTAGGGGGGTTCATTGGGTGCAATTGAACCCCCCACCGGCTGGTACCTTGGATTTTTTATATTTTTTAAAATAAACGAATAAATAAAAGTATGGTACTAACTCATGAGATTCAATATGAAATGGGACTGGTGGATAGGTTATCCTTATCAGGAGCGCCCCTAGGCCAGTGATGTGCCTCAT